AAGATAATTAGTGTGTGGACCATTTTCATTTATATAGTGCTGTGTGAACTCAAATTAGTTAGCATAAATCAGTTAAATGACGAAGAATTAGGTGTCTATTTACTTGTGACCAATCAGTGTACATACATACATACATACATACATATATATATATATATATATGTATATATACTTGTATATTCAGGTAATAGTTTCAAATGTTTCAAAGTTTGATTATAAATTTTTTTATTTTATGTCATGACTTAAATACGTATCTTAATACTTCTGCTTTTTTCAGCCCCAACCAAAGAACCTCTGTGCAGGCAAAAAGTAAGCATTTTTTATTTGTTCTGACCATTTTATAAAATAGTTGGAGTAATTTCACAAAATATTGCCAAATGATAACTTTGCATTGTGTGATGTTTTATTTCTTAGGAAGGCAATCTGTTACGTTGTAAGAAAAGGTAAAATGACTCAGTTTCAAGTGAGAAAGAATTACTTGACAACTGTTTCTTGTAGTCTGTTGCTAATACACCTACATTGCTACTTTCCTGTTACAAAAACAAAGAATCATTTTTCACTTAGGTTGTAACATTTTAGTTTTTATTACCTTCTGGTTATGTAACGTGTAGTAGAAAATATGTCAGTTTGCAGTTAGTAAAGTCAAGATCAGCATTTTCATCTTTTTTTTAAACTAAATTGAGTTAGTTGTAAAAAATTCATCAAAAAAAAAAAGACTTAAAATGTATTCAGATGCAGAAATAAGTCTTCTGTAGTCTTTTGATTATACATACTATAACATCTCATCTAGTCCAAATTTATTGTCATGACCCTTTCAAGATGTGTACGGAAATTTATTTCATATCTTACTGATTATGTCATAACTGAATGTCACAAAAAATAAAATAAGATACTGGCAGTTTGTTATTATAAGCATTAATGTAAAAAAAAAATTACAGTTTACGCTGTTTACATAAGTGTAATTCTTAAAATGTCAACTAATATAAAATTCCTCAAAGCAGGACAAATAAAATTGAGATCTTTCCCTTATCTGTTAGGTAAAGATATAAAACTAAATTCAGGGATGCGAACCAGTAGAACTTTGGTGTACTAATTACTGTAATAATGCCAAAAAGTACAAATTTATTAATGATTTATTAGTTGAATCTGAAATTTTGGAAACATACTTTTATTTTCGAATTTATGCTGTTAAATTAAATATTTTTGTAGTTTGTTTTAGACATAATATAAACAAAGATATATTTTACAAAAAGAATAACTTCCTGAGTTCTATAAACACAATCCAATTGTATCAAAACTGCCAATAGTGTTTCTTGTAATGTAACAAACTATTTCAGTTACAATTTTTAACCAAAAGTATACCAAGCTGGCCTGGCTATTGTTAAGATTTTTATCAAACAAATTCACATTAATAAAAGACAGTGACCCAAATATGCATCCAAGTATAAGAGATAAACAAAATTTTAACACAAAATACAGTGAGGAATTCCCAGTAATTAGAAAATTGAACAAATCAGAATTTAACACATACTGCAAGCCATGCTGGTTCAATTTTAAGGATTCTTATGGAGGTTGTGACAATTTTGCAAACCTGCCAACTGTTACGATTTAGGTGTAATTTTTACATTTTTTTTTCATTTTAAGCCTTTACAAATTGTTGTTGCTTCATGGTTTTATGCATAATTTCAGAATTTTTTCACTGACCTTATTTCTTGCTAATAATTTTCTGGAAATAATTCAACACTCTGCTTTACCTCTCAATCTTATAAATGCTTGAAACAGTCTGTTAAAAAGTGTGTAAGTAGTAAGCATTTAGGGTGCACTGATCATTTTTTGAGGAAGATGGTGGCAAAATATGATTCTGCTTTGTCCCTAATGATTCTAACAAAAAAAAGTTTATAGTGAGAAGAAGTTTAGGCATGAGTATTCAATAAAATTCAGTGATACTGTATGATCCTCAAAGGGTATGAATTATTTAAGATGTAAAATTTGTGTTTGTGATTTGTCCATTGTTCATGGAGGTGAAAATGACAAAAAATCATCTCAACACTACTAAATACCAGCAAAATTATTTGAGGGCATCTGGAATTAAACTGGACTCGTTTTTCTTAAAAACCCAATACCAAATCAGAAAATGATGTGATCACAGCGGAATGTTTATTCCAAAATATACATATCTCTTCTCCCACTTATAGCTATTACTCGCCTTCCATGGATTCATCTTTGCCCATCTAAGCATTGGTCGGGTTTTTTCTCACTTGCTCCAGTTTTTTATACCCCACTCAATTGCCCCTGACAATATATGTCTCATGACACACTCTACCTACATCAATGCACTCTCTATCCTGGAACTGTATATAAGCATTTCATTCAGATTACGTTATAATTTTTTCTCGATAAAGCGTCAGTAACAGGTTTTCAGGCATTATGATTGTTCGAAGATATTTTGAACATTATCATGTTATCTAGTTGGTTTTGTAACAATAATAATAATAATAATTTTTCTTTCTTATGATTGGCAAGCCGATTATGGTATAAATTCTCAGATTATTATTTTCGACATGGAGACCAATTGGGTCTCTCCTCTCCTACCTTTGATATCTGTCGAGATGGAGACATATACTTGGGTCTGCAGTGGTCCTCGTAGGAGCTCTGAGGCTGCATTTGAGAGAGATCTTTGTCATTTTGTATAAACCTTAGATTCACTTTTTCCTGTACCTTCTGTTAGTCTGTCGGATTTTCAGCCCCACTGTGGGTCAGTGGTAAGTTTAAGGACTCGCAGTGTTGGGGTCTGGAGATTGATTCCTTAGGGTGGATGCGGCAGATGGCCCGCAGTTGCTTTGCCTAACAAAACAACTTACTTTACCTCACAAGATGATGTTCCAATCAATGATAATCACCACTGTCTTTAAATGACTTATGAAAAACAAAAAAGGAGGCCATTTTGGGATAAGCTGCCTTTGATTTGTTTTTCCTGGTTGCTTTTGAGCCTGCAACTTCACTTTTGGCTGAAAGGTCTAGGATGGATTTTTCTCCATACATGGAAATTGTGGTTCATGCAGGAAGGTTTACTTTTTAGTTACATGAAGGGATATTTAGGCCTAATCAACACATTAGATGGAAGCATTTTTCCGACTCAAATAATTTCTGCTCCCTCAATTTTGGGGTTCTGAGGCAGTGTTTGTAATTCACCTTTGTAGGTCTATTTCTCTTGATGGGAAAGAGTAAGTCTATGGACTTGCAATTTACCTACAACATTTTGTTTCCTTTCACTTCTCTTGGGATCACCAGTTTCATTGAGGATGAGCTGGATCCATTATTAGCGTGCACATTGGTTCAGTTTTCGGCTTCTACATTCCTCCTGGTTATTGTTGAAGTCTCGAATTTCATCAGCTCCTACAGTGAGGTCATAGTTCTGCTCCTATTTTTGAGTACTGATCCTCAACATCAGCTCCTCAGTTCATTGGTACTCAGAATAGATTCTGTCTATATCTAAGGTTCCCACTGCTTAGTTGGATCACCAGTGGATTCAGTGATTATTGTATACCTTCAGGTGCTGTGGGGGCTCGGTTCCAAGATTTTCTGGACGTGTGGTATTCTTACCCATAAGTCCAGAAGCTTTGGTCCTTGGGTCGCAATTGGTCGTTCAGTTCACATCTTCCCCACTATTATCCACCCAACCTGTAGGATTTCTGTCTCCCCACAGTTCATTGGGATTTGAAACTTAGTTTTAGGGTTATCTGAGTCTGGTTGGCCTGGGTGTAGTGAGAGAGTCTGGCTAATTCTTCATTGTTTTTATTCATGTTAGTTGTTGGGCCTATGAAGACAGGTGATTGGTTTCCAGTCATCAAGCTTCCTTCTCTATATCAATGCCTAGGTTCTCCAAGGTTCACAAGTTAATCATTTCTCAATCTGTGTTGGTTTTTTACTGAGATTGTAGTTGGCTCCTATCTGCACTTTGTTGTCTTTGTGGTGCACAATGGTCAGGTACTGCAGTTCTGAGTTTTTTCTTCAGTTTCGCATAAGCGTAACATGGGTTATGCTGTATCATATGAGTCCCCTTCATTCCATTGTATTGTGCACACACCATTCCATGGATGACTGGTTACAGCTGCCAACATCTCATCAATTGTTCAATTATCACATCCTGCTTATACTTTCAGATACAACTCAGGCAAGCTTCTCTTTCAGGACTGCAACATCTATTCTTGCACCAATTCGATATGCCATCAACCTTTTTTTTTTTAATCTCAGCTCTCAGTCAGGCTCAGCTGTTTCCCATCCTGCTCAATGCCGTAGAAGAGTATGCCACATTCTTTCTCCCATTACATGGATAGTTCTTTCTCTAATGGGAATGTGGGCATCACTCAAATTGTTCATGCCTTTGGGATAAGAACACAAGTGATCCTTTTATTGGTCTTTAAGCAACCAGGGATTGTACACATCTGTTTCCTGGTTTCCTTAGTCTGGATTATTTTTTGATCTTGAGAGGTTAAGTCGGGACTTTACTACAAATTAGTTTCTCTACTGCCACCTTGTCCAGAGTTCCATTCTTTTCACAAATGCCTTACTTCAAGGATGGGGTACATATATCAACAGTCAGGAATTCCAGAGTATGCACGGATGACAAGGGGTTCCCTACCCAATGTTTTCATCCTTCTTGCTCTTCAACTTGCTAGGTCTCATGGTCTGGGCTTCTTAAGGGGTAAATCCTTAGGTTTCGCTTTGACTATTCTACAGTGGTGTCTTATGTTTTTCATCAAGGAGGCATGTAGTCTAAGGCTCCTTATTTTCGAATTTTGGACCTTCTTTCTCGGGACTAGTCTTATCTTATCACCCTTATAGATTGCCATGTTCTACGAGTGATGCCTGTGGTAGGAGGTCCATTGTCTCAATCCAAACAGATTCTCCCAACAGAATAGATCGCATCACAATGTTTAGTTGGTTTGGCTTTCATTTTGCAACTCTTATTGGTGGGTTGGTCTCTCATTGCATCACCCAACTACTGTCATATTGGTCTCCAGTACCTCATCTTTGGGCCTTGGCAAGAGAACCTTTCCATCTGGACAGGATTATCACTCTCAACCTTCTCTCCACTTCATATGTTACCTAGGGTATGAAATGTGATTTGTTCCAACCCATTGTCAGATACTGTTGATTGCACCAGATTGGTGGTTACACTCGGGTTTCTGCTTCTGTAGCCCCTTCTAGTGTGTTGAACACTTCCACTTCTCTTTAGGCTCTCTCAGTGGAGGCAGCCAAGATCAGATATAGTACATCCGGATATCCAGAAGCTCCAACTTCTGAAA